GGTTTCTCCTCTGCGTTGCTCATCTCAGTTTAGGAGAGAGGCACGTAGATTGAGAATGAAGAATTCTTAACAGAATGTCAGAACCCACAGCCAACAACAGAGTACACACTTCTTTAGAAAGGTTATACTTTTATTGAAGAGCCATAGATGCATTAACATAGTCACTGTTAAGAATAGCAGTTGCTTCTTGAACCTAATGAGATATAGGGCATTCATATGCACCCCCCCCCCGCGCTGGCCAATTAGGCACCCTCCCCCGCGCGGGCTAGAGCCGGCAAGTGTTACTAGGCTCCCATGGTCGGGCTTGAAGGCAGACAACACACATTACCACCTGTACGGCTTTGGAGATAAGCATTTCAGCGCATAGGAGAGAGAAAGGAATGCAAAAGCAATTTACAGAGACACTGAAAGAACATCCCAACCCCATGGCAGCATAGCTGACAGCTGTTAATGTTTATTAATTTTAATCATGTTATGCTGTTTTTTTATTCTAACATGTTTTACTTTGTAAGCCACCATTATATGCTGAAGAGGCAGCCTACAGACTTTCTAAAATAATGGAAGAAAGAAATAAAAGACCAAAGGTCTCAAACGAAATAATTAACAGGGATATATTCCAAAAATGCTTCATCAAATCCTAGTCCAGATAAAACCTCCACAAGAATTTTAATGAGTACAGCCTCAGTTTCAAGACAAAACCTAACGAAAGGGATGGAAAAAGGACTATCAGGTCATTAGAAGTTTTGCCTACCTTTTCTCTTAAATTGCTCATTTCCTTCTTCTTTTAGCTTTATGCTCTCATTTCTTCTCTTCTGCAAGACAAAGAATATGGCAGTCATACGGCATTTGTCTGCAGCGGTAATTTGGAAACACCACGAATGAACAATTAGAACAAACTGTAATCTAGAGTAGCATTCAAAAAGCTTTTATTTTTTAATATCTACTTGCACAGTCATATTTATTCACCAAGTAATTCTGTTTCCCTGCTCTGCATATCTTGTTTGTTGTTACTGTTAATTTCTGAGAAGGAACAATGTTTGAGTGTGGCCTCTCCCTACCTCTCCTGACATTTAAAATTGGGGGAAGAAGAAGAAGAAGACATTGGATTTATACCCCGCCCTTCACAACCCAAAGGTGTCTCAGAGCGGCTTACAAACTCCTTTCCCTTCCCCACCCCACAACAGACACCCTGTGAGGTAGGTGGGGCTGAGAGAGCTCTTGACAGAAACAGCTCTTTTTCAAGAACAGCTCTTATCAGAACTACGGCTTGCCCAAGGTCATCCAGCCAGGTGCAAGTGGAGGAGTGGGGAATCAAACCCGATTCTCCCAGATTAGAGTTCGCGCACTTAACCACTACACCAAACTGGGGAGGGGGTGAATGTTTCATACTGTCACCTTTAGAAGAACAATGACAAAAACAAAATACACCATGGAGAGAATGGATTCCTCAAGGTCAAATACCACTAAAGTGCTACTTAAAGGCATATGTCTCAAACATAATGAGAAAATCATGCATGGAGATTAAACTGTAAATCTTTTAGTATAATCCACATATACATTGCTTACTAGCCTGATAACCGTGCTTCGCTATGGTATTTAAGTTCCGTAAATCCAGTTATAATACTGATGACGTGAAGTCTGAAATTTAACATTTGTTGTAGTAATTCTAACAGAAAAGATTGTAGTGTAAGAAATGAAGTGAGAAATACGTCCTTTTTTTCTCTACTGAAGGACCAGATTGGTGGTTCTGCCCTCATGTGCTAGGATGACCAGGCTGTTTGATGAGCTCACTCTGGAGCAGGCCACATAGAACTGTCAATTTAAGAAGCAGTCGTCATTTAAGAAGCAGGAATCATGTTTCTCAGAAATCTCTTCATGGGGGGGGGGAGGTTTTGACATCATGGTAGGAATGCACTCCCCTTATTTTGGATTTATTGGTGCAGGGGTTTGGCCTGGTCATTGAATTTGAGGGGAGGGCATAACACACAGGCTTTTTTTCTTTTCTTTTTTTTACAAAAATCCTCATTTATGTTACATTTTAGAACTGGGACATAGCTACATATTCAAAACACCATACAAGCAATCAGATATTAAGCAAGTTCATATGAACCAGTTTTCTAGAACCCACATTGTGAGAAGTTAAATAACCTAATAAAGGAAACCAGTTTTCTACAAATTTGTAATATATTTCATAGTGGGTGTGAGTGTGGGTAAGCTGAATCAAGAGCACCGCTAAGGTGATTCTACTGGGGCGGCATCCCTGAAGGACTAAAGTACCCTGGTCCTGCTCCTACACCTGACAGACACTGGCCTGTCTAGTGTTGGGGGGGATTGTATTTAAAGGCATCAGGGAGGCTGGGCCAGCAGCAATGCTAAAGCAATCCTGCTGAGCAAACCTCCCTGGTGGCTGTAAACATGCCTCCTCCTCTCCTACACCTGACAGGCAGTTGCCTGTCCAGTGTAGGAGGGGGAGGGGGGGGAGTATTAGATGCCGCTCTGGAGGCTGGGCCAGCAGGATCACTAAGGCATTACTGCTGGGGCAGGCTCCCTCATGGCTTTAAGCACCCTGCAACTGCTGCTGCACCTGACAAACAACAGCCTGTTAGGTGTAGGAGGTGGGGGGAGTGTGTTGTAAGTCATCATAGAATTGTAGAATCATAGAATGTTAGAGTTGGAAGGGACCTTGCAGGTCATCTAGTCCAACCCCCTGCACTCTGCAGGAGCATAGCCGAAAGATAGCCCTACAACATACCCGAAAGATGGTCATCCAGCCTCCTAGGCAGCAGCCTGGCAGCCACATAGGAATAAATGGGGGGGAGCACACTTTACCCCTTTTGACCCCCTTCTAAAAATCCCCTTAGCGAGCACCTACGTCATGGTAGCACTCTCCCCGAATTTGGTGTTTCTAGGTCCAGCGGTTTGGCCTGGGCGTTGCTTTTATGGTGAGGGGACTTGCTTTTATATATATAGATTAACGCATAAAGGCTATGAAACAAACAAAGAAACCTTCCTAAAGCAAGACCAGTAAATGGGCTGTATACAGTCCTTGAAAACACTAATCTGCTTTGCTGTTTCTTAGTTTCCAAACTTTCAGGTCTGCAGGGAGGCTGAGAAAACAGGCTGACGTCTCTTGTTGGCAGAGAGAGTTTCGATTCTACTTCTTCTTCAGAGCCAATATATTTATGGAATACAAATAACAAAACAAGCAAAACATCTTGTATACAGATATTCAGAACACTTCAAACCTTGTTATTAACAATTTGAAACCTGCCTTACAGACACAGTTTACATATTTTGCATGCTTTATCATAGTTCCACAAGGGCTCGTTATACTCCTTGCAGCAAAGCGGTTCTTACATGCACAAACTCAGCTTGCGTACTTAAAGCTAATCTCAGCCTCCCAGCAGACCTGAAAGTTAGGAAGGCTTCTTTGTACTTGTGTATTTGTTTCATAGCTGTGCTTTAATAAGCAATAAGTATATGTGGATCATACTAAAAGATTTACAGTTTAATCTTCATGCATGATTTTCTCATTTATTATGTTTGAGACATATGCCTTTAAGTAGCACTTTAGTGGTATTTGACCTTGAGCAATCCATTCTCTCCACAATATATTTTGTTTTTGTCATTGTATTTAGTATCTCCGCAGTCCTGCTGTATTTAGTGCTACCTTTAGAAGAACTGCAACCAGTCAGTATATACACTGTGCACAAGAAAGCTGTAACTACTTTTAAAAAGAATTTTTAAATCCTATTTTTTTTAAAAATTGCCCAATCTTGTACAGTGTCATTTCCTTGCTTGTTCCTGTGAAGTAGGAACTACAGATGAAACACTGTGACTTGCCCACAGGCTGCACACAGAGAAAGGATTCTGACGTGGGTCTTCCCTTCAAAGCCCAAGGCCACAAAGACTCTTCCTCTACAGGAAGGATATGAACAAAGCTCTGATTCAAGATACCAACAGGGTATCACAATTTTAATTTTCATCAATATATTTACTGATGCTTATGTACTTTTATTTTGTTTGTTTGTTTGTTTAATTTATACCCTGCCCTCTCCACCAAGGCAGGCTCAGGGCGGCTTACATAAAATAATACACAAATAACAGTTAAGATCCACATAAAATCATCTAAAAACAGTCCAGTTAAAACTATTCAATATTATTAGGTGCTTGTGATGACTAATTAAACACTTAGCGATGGCGTACTGTATGAGTGCCAGCAAAGATCTTACTAAATATTCTGCTCAGTGATATAAGCGGCAGCACAGGCTGAGGTGTCAAAGCCAAGGGCCAGGGTTCTATGATTACGATTATTGATAGAATGGTGACGGCGGCTCCTTTGTTAAAGGCCTGGTGGAAGAGCTCCGTCTTGCAGGCCCTGCGGAACTGCAAAAGATCCCACAGGGCCCTGATCTCTTATGGGAGCTCATTCCACCAGTACTGAGAAGGCCCTGGCCCTGGTAGTAACCAGCCCGGCATCCTTGGGACCCGGGAGGGCAAATCAGTTTTGAGCCCGTGACCGTAGTGCTCTCTGGGGTATATATGGGGAAAGGTGGTCCCTCAGGTATGTCGGATCCTGGCCATATAGGGCTTTAAAGGTAAGAACCAGCACCTTGAAGCGGATTCGGTACACTATCAGCAGCCAGTGCAAGATCCTCAGTACAGGCTGGATGTGCTCCCGCAAGGGGAGGCCCATCAGAAGCCTTGCCGCAGCATTTTGCACTAGCTGCAGCTTCCGAATTTGCGACAAGGGCAGCCCCATGTTGAGAGCATTACAGTAGTCTAACTTCAAGGTGACCGTCGCATGGATCACTGTTGCCAAGTCGTTATGGTCAAGGAAGGGAACCAACTGTCTGATCAGCTGAAGATGGTAAAAGGCTGACTTGGCAGTGGCTGCTACCTGGGCCTCCATTGTTAAGCAGGCATCCAAGAGCACTCTCAAGTTCCTAACCTCCAACGCTGGGACCAGAGGCACCCCATCAAAGGTTGGGAGTGGGATCCCTACCTCCGGGCCGCCCCAGCGTAGGCACAAGACCTCCATCTTCATTGGATTCAATTTCAGTTGGCTCAGTCTAAGCCAACCAGCCATGGCTTGTAATGCCCGGTCCAGATCTTCTGGTCTGGAGTCAGACTGGCTGCCCAACATAAGATACTGCCGGATGTCATCCGCATACTGGTGACATCCCAGCCCATGCCTCTGGGCAATTTGGGCAAGGGGGTGCATATAGATGTTAAATAGCATAGGGGAAAGCACCGCCCCTTGAGGCACTCCACAATCCAGTGGGAGCCTTCTGGACTCCTATTCCCCATGTGCCATCCTTTGTCCCTGACCTTGGAGGAAGGAAGCGAGCCATTGCAAGGCAAGCCCCTGGACTCCTATGTCGGTGAGACGGTAGATCAGTAACTGATGGTCGACCGTGTTGAACACTGTCAACAGGTCGAACAACAACAGTACCGCCAATCCACCCCGACCCAGATGCCTCTGGAGGTAGTCTGTGAGGGCAACCAGTGCCGTCTCCATCCCGTGTGAAAACTGGACTGGAAGGGATCTAAGATGGAAGTGTCATCCAAAAAGCTCTGTAGCTGAGTAGCCACCGCCCTCTCTATTATTTTGGGCAAATTGGAAACCGGCCGGTAATTAGACAATTCGGTCGGATCCAGAGATTTTTTTTCAGGAGAGGATGGACCACTGCCTCCTTGAGCACCCCCGGGAACTGTCCCTCAACAAGGGACTTGTTGATAATCTCCCTTAAGGTGCCTCGAAACCCATCGTGGCCAGCTTTAATTAGCCACGACGGGCACGGGTCAAGGCAGCATGTGGTAGGGCGAACAGGTAGGAGCAATTTGTCAACTTCCTCTAGGCTGAGCAGACTGAAACAATCCAAAACCTGACTCGAAGATGTGCATAGAGCCTCGAGTTCACTCACTGTTTCAACTGTGGTGGGGAGATCGCAGCGGAGCAACAGGACTTTATCTGCAAAATAGTTCGCAAATGCCTCACAGTCTGTGTCCAATTCCCTAGCATTTGGTCTGCCCTGTGGCAGAACAGTTATAGACCAAATTGTTCTAAATAATTGGACTGGGTGTGAGCTCACAGACGCAATTGTAGCCGCGTAATACTCTCTTTTTGCGGCTTTGACCGCCATCTCATGGGATCTCATAAACGTCATATAGGATGCTCTTGTAGCTTCGTCTCGAGCATGCCGCCACCGGCTCTCTAGCCATCTCAGCTCTCGCTTCATAAGCCACAATTCCTGGGTAAACCAGGGAGCGAGCCTAGAGCATGGCCGCAGAAGGAGCCGTGGAGCAATCTCGTCGATAGCTGTCGAAAGTCGGCTATGCCAGTCCCCCACAAGCTCATCTAACAAGCTGCTAGGGGCATCAGATCCCGGAGAGCCATCTGGAGCTGCACAGGGTCTATTTGGCTCCACGGGCAAGCTAAAATACGCTCACCGCCTAAACAGGGTCAGGGTGGGACATTCAGACGGGCCTTCAGGGCATGGTGGTCCGACCATGGAACTGCTAGATCCAGTCCACTGTTACCCCCACAGCAAAGATCCAATCGAGTGTGTGCCTGGCCTGGTGAGTGGGGGGTCATTACATATTGGGAGAGTTGCCTGAGTGGAGGCCACATTGTCAACATGGACATTGAAATCACACAGGACTATCACCCAGCCTGATAAGGCCTTGATCAAGGACGGCCGGTGCGTTACACGGTCAGTACACCAACCAGATCGCCAAACTCTCCCCAGCCTCCCACACTAGGCCCGCAAACTCAATGCCCGTGATCCTCGGTGGCGGGCGCACCCTGAAGGAGATAAGCCTCCCGAATGAATAAAGCCACTCCCCCCCGCCCCTAGTCCGCAATTGGTGAAGGACCAAAAACCCAGGAGGGGCAAGTTGGAAGAGAGCTACTGTCTCCCCTTCCCACATCCAGGTCTTGGTCATGCACACCAGGTCTACATTCTGCTCCTGCAGAAAGTCCCAAAGGACCATGGTCTTATTGTTTATAGACCTTGCATTGCACAACGCCTATGTCAGAGGGGTGTTATTCATCCTAGCCCCACTGCCAACATCCTTAGGGATGGGACACAGACTGGAAGTAGGCCAAGCTATTCTGTTTCTCCGCCCCCTTCCCTTAACTCCCTGGGAGCGCCACCGAAAGCTGCAGTCGCTCAGTGGATTTTAGTCCAATGGATTTTGGCTCGGCTGGGAAAGCTTTGAGAGGGGTGAACACCCCCCCCCAGGTCCCCCCACCACTGCCCACACACCCTGAACAGGCACTGCAACTGTGGCCACATAGGTGGTTACTAAAGCAGAGAAGTCTGGATCTTGACACCGGACTCAAAATGGTGACCGCGCCAGAGGAGCAGAGCTCACAGAGCCACCATCCGTTCCTCCATCAACAGCAAAGACCTCACGCCAGACCGGAGAGCCTGATGTCGATCGCATCAGGGCCAGGCCGGGAGCTCTGTACCACGTTGAAAGCCACACTGAGATAAGGACGGTGGGCGGTAAATATTATGGATTTTCTCTCACCTCTCGCCTCCTCTCCCCTCGCCACACCAGCTGCTAGAGTTCAGTTCTTCATGAAACACCCACTAACTGGTCTAGAGTGGTGGTCTTTCTCAAGGAGCTAGCACCCAAGCTTCTTGCTCGTCACCCACCTTTTAAGCTTTCTGCCCATCTCTTGGAGATTAACTGATGGTCAACCCAAATGGACCCTCTGTACCCTTATTACAGCTAAGAGCCTTGTATTACATCACTGGAAAAATAAAAGCCCGCCTCTGGTAAATCAAGGGATTGAGGATCTTAGAACTCTATTAATATATGAACGCATGGCATACAGATAACAATTGCATATGGACTTATTTTTTGCTATCTTAGATATTTTAGATTTTTCTAACTTATTTAAGTGCTGGATTTTAAGTGTTGTTCCCTTGATTCTTTTCTGTTTTGTTTTTAAAGAAAGAATTTTTTAAAAATGTTTCTATTCCAAAAACTAGCTCCTTTTGATAAGACAAGAAGCATTTTACTTCTCTCAGGCATTCCCTGGCTTCTTGCTTTCCACTCCTCTAAGGGGAAAGTGCTTCCTTTATTCTACTGCCTTCTCTACTTCCTCAGGTTCCAGTCCCCTTTTACTCTCACATCCATGACAGCCAGCCCCTCACTTCCTGATCCTCTACTCTGCCCCTTAGGCTCTGTAACAGCATAGGAGCACAGCCAATGGCAGGCCTGTTGCTTTGCCAGTTAATATGACTACTCTTTAAAGAAGAAATTTAAGAACAGGGAAAAAACCTCAAGGAAATTCAAGCAAATTATGGTGTAAAGAAGAAAGATTTCCGGTGGTCAGGGCTTCAATTTCTTGTGCAGTTTCTCGATGATTAGCAGTAAGAGAATTATGTAAAGTCTACAAGTGCCTATTTTGAATATTTACACAGGTCACAGGTTTGACTTTACTACACAGACTGTGAGTTGCCTTGGCACAGAATCAGATTTTGTTTAAGCACAACACAAAGAAAACGTGCTTATAAGATTTTGCTGAGTCATTGCTGCATCTGCCTTTCTCATAGATGAATATAAAAGAAAAATTGCACTCTACAAACAGCAAGCAGACTGGTCTGACCTGTAAGCAGGGACTCTAACGCGGCTAAGTTTGGGCTGCATTTTAACATTCCTTTATGAACAGTTATTTCAGTTGCAGAATTCATCTCTCATCACACATGGCATTTTAAAACCACCCTATACAAATATTGCTGCTTCTGACAAACAAAAAGATGTGAACAACCCACTTCAACATTCATTTATGTTTCAGAAGGGTATTCTTCACACCACCCTTTCTGATAAAGACCAAGAACCTGAGGGCAGACAATCGAGCTCAGAGCAAGAAAGGTTATGTCTCCTGTAGACTGTCAGGCAAGCACTTTTGACACTGGGCATAATCTCTTTGTGGCAGCAGGCTTATCTGTATTGGAAATGTTTGCCAGTCAACCATTGCAGCCTGTGGTTTCACTATTAGATTGTGTCTTCTTTAAATCTTGTTCTGAACTAAAGTTGTATTATAAGCCAAAACTGTACTGAAACTAACTCAGCCTAAAAAAAGAGCATACCAGACTCAAGAATCCATGAAAACTAAATGGTCTACACACAATTGCCTGGTAGGCATGCACTGCCTATTTCAGCTTTAGGAAAACAGGGAATGAAAAGCAGAACAGGAGCAAGCTAGGGACAGACAAAAAATTGGTAAACAGAACAACAGTGGATGCCAAATACAGAATAGAGATGGGAAAATGAGCATATAGTGGCACTGGTTGCAATCTCACAAAACAAAATCAGACTTGGCCACAGATTCCTATCCCTGCAACTACTACAGTACATCGAGTGGGGCATTTACAATATTGAGAAGCCAGCCCCAGGGAACTCAGCAGCAGGGGCCATAGTGGCCACAGCAGCTACAATGGGGATCATTACTGTAGAATATCTGCAACTAGGTTGCCCTGTGTTTTTAATTTGCTTTTTAATGAAACAAATGGTGAGAGGCTAATTTGATCAACACTGCAGTTAGGTATCCTTTCACCCCCCCATCCACTGTTTTCCAATGAAGTCCACACACACATACATGCCACCTACTGTTGTTTGTACAAAAGGTATTTTCCCCATTGGGGAAAGCAGCAACTGTGGGGAGGGGGGGGGACACGAGAGAAAAGACTGCCCCTTCTTCTCTACCATTGCTCTGACCCAATCTGGGAACACCCTATAATGACACTTCATTTTTAAAAAGTCTGAGATATCTAAACCTAGATTTCCTACACAACACATAGTTTATCAACATGTTCCCTGACATTCAGGCTGCAGTCCTATGCATACTTTCTTAGCAGTAATCCACACTGAATTTGATGGGACTTTCTTCCAAGTGAACATGCAGAGGACTAATATGCAAAGTTGAAAAGCTATGCATCATTACATAGAAGTAAGCACTTTTGAAATCAACTAAACTCATTATGGTATTAATACAAATAGGATTGGACTGCAGGAACATTTAACAGATCTTACATTAGAAATCTCCACCTACACTTCAACAGATGTTCAAGTGGAAAAATTTGACTGGAGTCTAAGTAAATATTATTAGGTGTATCAGTCAGAAAATCTTCTTAAAAATTTAGAGATTTATTAAAGCATACCTGTTTTTCTTCCTCTGACATATCTTTCTCCAATTCTAATAGGTATTTTTCATCTAGATCTGTTTGCTTCTCTGAAGAATCTACCTCACAGTTGTGATTCTCTTCTGTCACTCTTGATTCAAAGGAGTCATTGCAGTCATGAAAGAGGTCATCATCTTCTCTGGCTTCACTAATTCTGGGGATGTGCACATTATCGCATTCCGTTTGTGAAATGTAGCTTTGGTCTTCTGAGAGTTTCAAACCCTCAACTAGTTTTTCAGGGATGGCATCTTCAGACTCCATCTCAAACCTGCAAATTTAATTAAAAGACTGAGACAAAGAAAAGAAACATTGTATACAATGATTAATATCATGAAAACTTTTTAAAAGGCTAATAAAGTGTCAGACACCTGATCACAAGAGACACCTAAAGACAAATATTTGTGCCTACTGGATCTTCATTTTTTTCAGCCTCATTCAACAAGCATTCAAACGTACTTCAGAGTTCCCAAATCAGTGCTCTGTGAAGCAAGCTGTTGTGTGTAAATGATGAATTTTTGTATAAACTTCCTCAATTCGGTCTATAAAATGGATTTTTGTCCAAACTTTGTCACATACTTACATAATTATGGCAGCTTTTCACACTGCAACAACTAATAATCAGGATCAAAGCCTAAATATTAGCCATAGCATTAGTTATGGCCTAATCCCATCCAGCTTCACGCCCCATGCATGCTTGCAGTTCACCCTGACAAAGCTAAATTTCCAACACAAAGTGTTATAATGCTCAAGACAAAACCTGTCACACCCTTCCAGTTATCAAATACTGGTTTTGAAAAGTCATCCTGAATAGAAGCATGATACAAAAACATTACTGAAGATGATTACTCATCTTCATACTAAACCAGCCCACTGGCCCATCTATCCCAGTACATTCTGTTTTGGCTGGTAGACAACTCTGCAGGGTCATATGCAGACTTTCCTGATTCTGTTGATAATTATAACTCCAGAACTGAAGCTGGAATCTCCCGTGGGCAAAGCTGATACTCTACCGATGAACTACAGCTTCCACACGTAGTGAACTAGGAGAATTTACTAATGCACCCTCCTCCTCCCAGAACACAGCCTTCTCTGGGGAACTGAACCCATAACCTTTTATATCCACTCATGCGCTAAACATATAAACGAGTAGCTTCTTAACTGCTATGAAAGGTACAAGCATAAAGGCTTCAGTCACATTCGAATTTTTTCAATATCAACGCTGAATAAAAAACAATAAATTTTCCCTTGGCAAGCAAAATTCCCTCCTCCCGCAGCAAGCACTCCGTCACGCTTTCCACAGTCCTAAATACGCATCTATGACTGCTTTTCTAAGCCCACCCCTACCAGACCCCTCAGCTTGACACCATCCTTACAAACCCCCTCTGCTACCGACCACCGCTCAGACTCCGTCCCTTTCGCCTGTACTGTTTCCGGATGCTGCGTCTTTTGCTCGCTGGCCTAAACGTCACTTCCTAGTTCCCCCGCCAGACCAGTGACTGGCTGAACCTCCGGAAGGTGGAGACCCAAAACTAAGTTTCCAATGAAACTGGTGTGACGTCACAACCTAGTCTTCGCCAGTTATCGACTGCCGGCTCGGCCGAGCGCTGTGCAGCTGGGCCCTGAGGAGTGGCCCGGTGGCTGCGCCGTGAAGTGCTGTCGCCTGTTCTCCATGAGAAAGTCGGAGCAGCCGCTTGTGGGCTGGGAGAGAGTTTGTTGTGTAGCGAGAGAGGCCGTGCTGCCACCCAACGGAGACCCGCCTGCATTTTACACAAGTAAAGGGATTAGTATATGCTTCTGCTGCTGACGAAGTGACCTAGGAGAATTTTTAAGCTGAAAAAACCCGAACAAACCTGTGAGCTACGCCGCAGACAGGAGTCAGGGCTACCTTTCTTTGTTTTCGTAATTCTTTTAGCTCCGGTCGGGTGCTTCAACCCTGACTGTTCCCTGGAAGGCCAGATAATGAAACTGAAGCTCAAATACTTTGGCCACCAAAGGAGAAGGGAGCACTCACTGGAGAAGACCCTGATGCTGGGAAAAACTGAAGGTCAAAGAAGACGGGGACGGCAAAGGATGAGATGGTTAGACAGTGTCATCGATGCAACGAACATGAAGTTGAGCCAACTTCAGAGGACGGCGGAAGACAGGAAGGCCTGGCGGGAGCTGGTCCATGGGGTCGCGAAGAGTCGGACTCGACTGTGCGACTGAACAACAACGGGTGCTTCCGAGCTTGTGCAAAACCCTCTTTACCTTTAACCGTGTAGAGTGTTTCAGGTGGGTAGCCACGTGGATCAGGTCTGAGGAAATAGAACAAAGTTCGAATCCAGTGGCACCTTTAAGACCAACAAAGTTTCATTCTGGGGATAAGCTTTCGTCTGCATCCACACTTCTTCAGATACACTAAAACAGTCTTCTCAAGCCTTACATATAGGTAGAGAGGTGGAGGGGTTAGTTGCCAGGAAAGGCTAGTTAGAGTCAAGCTGCATAAGTAACAGTGATAAGTATGGCTAAGATTAAAGCAGTTGGTAAGACCTGTGAATAGCAGCAAATTAGCATACAAATAAAAGAAACAGATGAGAGAACTAAGTGAGTCCAGCGGCACCTGTAAGACCAACAAAGTTTAATAGTTGATGACTCTGCACGCTCAGGTTCAGCATGTGCTCCGCCAACTGCATTGGTTACGGGTTGAATACTGGATTCGCTTCAAGGTGTTGGTAATAACCTTTAAAGTGTAATATGACCTGGGACCAGCATATCTGAGGGACCACCTCTTTCTGTATACACTCTGAAGAGCATTACAGTCTAAGGATCAACATGTCCTGGTGGTCCCTGGCCCAAAGAACGTCTGTCTTGCCTCAACTGGGGACAGGGCTTCCTCTGCCCTGGCCCCTGCCTGGTAGAACATGCTCCCTACTGAGATCAAGACCCTGCGGGATCTCCTTCAGTTCCACAGAGCCTGCAAGATGAAGCTGTTCCGCCAGGCCTTTGGCTGAGGCAGCGGGCGCCCATACATGGCCTCCCTGAGGTTGCTGTCACCCACCCACTGATAACTGGCCATTAGACAACTGATTTCTGTTGTTAAGCTGTAACCACCAATTTTAATGTTTATACTGTGTTTTAAAATTGTGATTGTATTTATTATAACATGATGTTAGCTGCCCTGAGCCCACTTGCAGGATGGGCAGAATATAAATATAAAAAATCAGGGTATAAGTGAGAACTGAGTGACTTAGCATGTGCAGATGCACACTTCTTCAGATACATTAAAACAGACTTCCTCAGGCATCACATATAGGTGGGGAAGTTAGTTGCCAGGAAGTGCTAATTACAGCCAAGATGTAGAAGTAACTGAGCAATAAGTATAGCTAAGATTGGGTTAACGCAGTTGGTAAGACCTGTGAATAGCAGCAAATTAACATACAGATAATAAAAGAGTCAACAGTTGTGAGAACTGAGTTTGAGTCCAGTGGCACCTTTAAGACCAAAGTTTAATTATGGGTATAAGCAAGAACTGAGTGACTTGGCATGTGTAGTGAGAAAAAAATCTGATGGCTCTGCTAAGCCCCCGGGATTCCATTTTCCAGAGTGCTGTAATAAATTCTAATTCAGCGATCTCCCATTCCAGTCTGTTTCTGAAATTCCTTTGCAATAGAACAACTACTTTGAGGTCTCCAGTAGACCTAGAGAAAAAAGGTCCTGGCCCTGTATTAAAGGCTTGAGGTGTGAAAATTAGAAATTTAAGTTTTTCGTGGTCTGGAGGTAAATAACATCCCTTTAAGCTTTTGTTAAGAAGGCAGGACACTTTTCTCCAAGCCTGCTGGCAACCTTATTTTTGAACAGGATGCTTATCTGATTGGGGAGAGATTGCCTGCAGAACAGCAGACACAGCCTGCATTAGTCACCTGGGGAAGGCCTCGGCCTCTATGCCCTGATGTTAGCCATCCAGAGGAACTGGTTGGCCGCTGTGTGAGACACGATGCTGGACTAGATGGGCTACTGGTTTGATCCAGCAGGGCTCTTCTTATGCTCCTATGAAATGGCAGGGGAGGCATTTTTAATATGTAATTTTTGCTGTCTTTGCATCCTTAAGATCAGGCTACAGATTAAGATATTAAACCTTTTTTTAAGCCGCCTTAGAATGTTAGGATATAGATATATGAAATAATTTTGCTGGCCCAACCAAAATTTTGTTTATGATTAATTGCTCCTAGTCTTTCATACCGTATACAGATACTGCATAAAAAATAGTGGCAACCCTACACACACTCCAACATATCCTTGATATGTATAGCCTTTAAAAATGTAATGCTAGCCTATTCCCACAAGAGCAATGGCCACCATTTCAATAAACTCTTAGAGCTGGGAGTGAAATAGGTGCCCCCGTTGGCACTGGAAAATGGTAGTCCCGTGTGTATTAGGTTTTTTGTAAGGCTAAATACATTTTTCCTTTACAGCAAGGCTCTTTCCCCCACATTCCTTCCTATGTATCAAGGCTATCCTCTGTCTTGTTCATGAAGTTGACATGCCTACAATGAAAACTTTTCAAATGGTGTCTGTAATTTGAACCAGAGAATACACAGCTACAAGCTGGGCTTGTAGTCACCCTGAGTAGAACCCATTGCTTCAAATAAACAGTTCTCTGTTCAAGTCCTTGTCTGCTTTCAGGATTGTATCAGGAGCCTCTCAGTTTTGAGAAAAAAGTGTTATCATTGCTGAAGAACAGGTGGTACTCTTGATACATGTCAGTGTGGGTGTGTTTCACCTTCCACTTAGAGCCAAATTCAGGCTTAGTATACTAAACACAAGAAAGGACACCTCCCACCCTTTTTTTCTTGAGAGATGATGGCTTGGGGTCTACACAGTTTAATGGAATGCCCTCGATCTGGGCAGTGACCCACACAAGCAACTACAAGGGATTTCTGACAAAGTGCTATAAGCTTGGAAGGAACAACAGGAAACCAGACAGAGTAAAAATAGAAACAAAGTTTATTGAGGGGAATAATAACTATCGGGGCTGTAGAATTAGCACAGAGTATTAGAATACCTAACACTAGAAGGCCATATCTTCCAAGCACCGAAAACACTGTCCAAGAAGCCAAAAAGACAGAGATTAAAGGAGGGCTATTGCTATCTATGTGTGCAGATCTAGGCAAAGGTCTGATTTTTGAAGACAAAGGTACAAGTGTCCGGGCAGCAAATTAATCCAATAGGGCGGAGAAGCAGGGCCACACTGTGTGTCCATAGTAGTTTGATATTAGATTAAAGTTTGCTTTTAATGTTTTACTGATGTATTTTAAAATCTTGGAATTTTGTAAAGGTGTACTTCTTTTTGTATGACGGGTCTAAGGACTTTAGAAATAAACTAAACTAAACACTGTGTGTCCAGAATGGCTACCTCCATAGCTACACAGTCTGGACTGCCCTAGAGCCAGTCAGAAGTACACAGTAGATATAGATTTGAGCCCAGTCTATGTAAGGTTCCCAATAGACCTGGGGGGGGGAGTCCTGTCCCTTTAGTAGAAACTTATTGTGTGGAAATTGTCAGCTGAAGCTTTTCATGGCATGGAGGTAAATAATATCACCTGGTAAATAACAACCCATTGAGCCACTGTTTAAGAGGACAGAACTTTTTTTCTTCCTGGCAATTACCAGCCCTATCTTCAACCTACCTAAGGTCCCCAGAGAGAGAGAGAGAGATCTTGAACTTACCAAGCGCTTCAGCCAGTTTACAGGAGTCTGTCTTCTCTCTCCATATGAGC